GCAGTAATGTTGAGTGCGATTACATTAACGTTCCCACAACTGTATTCACACCATTAGAATACGGCGCCTGTGGTTATACTGAGGAACAGGCCGTCCAAACATTTGGCGAACAAAACATTGAAGTATACGTTCAAAGTTTTTGTCCTCTGGAATGGCAACTTCCACACCGACCCGTCAACACTTGTTATGCAAAACTTATTTGTTTAAAGGCTGAAAATGTAAATAATTTTATAACTGCATTACAATTCCAACTCAATTTACATTTATTTTTCAATGTGTTAATTATAGTGAATTCTATAATTAATTTATTTGCCATGTTTTACATTATAGTGTTTATCCTTTTAGGAAAGATTATTAGGTTTTCATTATTTGGGTCCAAATGCTGGTGAAGTGACACAATTGGTTGGTCTCTCCCTTAAAATGAAAGCTACAAAAGCAGATCTCGACGCTCTTATAGGCATTCATCCGACGTGTGCTGAGGTTTGTGTTGAAATTAATTGAATTGTTCATTGGTTGGCTTTTGTATGTACAATGTTTATACTAGGAATGCTTAAAACAACTATGACTCTATGTAAAACTCATAGTAAAACACACCTAAGCTCATAGTAAAACGCACCTAGAGCACATTCTTAGTTTATACTATACTGTATTTGAAACCTCATTTGTGATATTCATAAATACATATTTTGTTATATCTGATTAATTTTAACCATACTATTGTGTGATTAAAAATATAACATAAAATAAATGAATTAAATTATGTAATTAATCGTAAACAATATTGATTGGCCCGTAAATTTATATTAGTCTAATATTCAGTATACTGTACTTAAAGCTCAAATTTTACAATTACAATTATATGCCATAAGACATGAAAATAAGTTTGAATTAAATTTGATTAAACAGGTGTTTACAACACTATTGGTGACCAAAAGGAGTGGACAATCAGCGGATGCCAAGGGTTGCTGAGGTTAATGTGAGACTGCTATCAATTTCTAATATGTATTAGATTT